TCTTCTGAATGTACATTTGATAGAACTGATGAACATGCCAGTTTTCTATGTCTCATTTGTTGGAAAGGAAGAGAGATTTCAAAACAGATTTCAGAACAAATCATCACATTACAAGAGTCAGCATGAAACTAAGGGTAGGAGGTACCAGACGGGGTTGTTAGTCCTCTTCAAAATTAGGGTAAATTCCAAATTGCAGCATTTGTTTAAATCCATTTATAACTTTCTTTCCCCCCCTCACCTCTGCTTCTACAGTTGGAGACAATCTGTCTAAGTGCCGTTCCCTTTGCTCACAGAGAGCACATTACCCATCTTGCACACTGGACACTCTCCAGAGAACATACGTGGTCTGAATCTTGGGGATATCAGTCTATATATAAATAATCAGACAACAAAACCAGAAGCTGCAGTCCTAAATTACCAAGGACTATAATCCTGGGAGCATTTGTTTCCTAGCTACCCTCAGAATCTTTGAGCACACACCTCTCTAGATAGTAATTATGTACTCAGGGAGGGCGTACTGGCTCCGTGATTAACACCGCCTGCCTTTAACCTTTGGTTGCTGAATTGCACGGAACTTCTAAAAACTGAGCGCAAGGAAAGAAGGCAGAGCCACAGGTTCAGCTTAGCTCTGTTTCCAGCAGAACCGCAGGGAGACGCTATGGAAAAGGCATAAAAAGCGAAGTTAGTGCCGAGCGGATAGCGAGGGGCAGCTCTAGGATACAATGGCCGTACGTGCTCCCAGCACCGACTGAAACCTGCCCCGCTCCCGAAATCCCCGACCAGCGCTGCACGGCACTCAGCGCCCAGCTGCGCCCCAGAGTCCCGGGACAGAAGCAGCCACCGAGAGTGGCCGCAGCCACCCCCGCCCTTCAGGGAACTGCGGGGACCGGCGGCCGCCGAACCCCTCCCCGACCCCCGCAGCCCCCGAGAGCTGCCCCAACCCCAGCACTCACAGCGGACGGTGTGGAAAGCGCAGCGCGGCTGCTTCTCGAAGCTCTCCCCCAGCTTTAGCACCCGCGCCTTGGGGTCGTAGAGCGACGGGACGGCTCCGTTCATCGCGGCAGCGCCTCACACCATGGCGGGCCCCGGGGCCGCCGCCGCCGCCCGCACCGAGCATCCCTCACGCCGCCCGGGCCGGCGGGACCCGCCCACGCGGGCTGCGATAGGCCGTGACGGGCAGAGCCCCGCCTCCCCCGAGCTGGATTGGTCAGCGAGCGCGTCCCCATGTAGATTTCCGCCAGTGGGGTGGCGGAGGCGCCAGCCCGCACGCGGATATGCAAATGCACCCTCCTCCCGCAGGGGAGAGCGCTGGTTGGCGGAAAGAGGCCGCGACCACACAGCTGTGAGGGGAGGGGGACGTGGGGGAGCCGTCGCGTTGGAGACGGCGGGATCGGCGTTCCAATCCCCCCTCCCTCCCCCCGCAGTTCGGGGAGCCCCCGCGCGGCGGTGAGAGGGGTCGGCGGTGCGTGTGGGTCCCCTCAGAGCGCCCCGAGGGCGCCCCGCGGCCTGGGGGCTTCGCTGCACCGGCGCCGCCGCTCCCGGGGACAGTGACGCCGGTGGGAGAGGGCACCGCTCCCTCTGCCCTTTCCCCGGCCCTGGGTGAGGTGAGGCCGCTCCTGCTGCCCGCCCCGTGGGGCCGCGCTCAGGCTGCCCGGCCGGAGGTGCGCCCTGCCGGCAGAGCCGGTCCGGCGGCCCGCGGCCTCGGGAGGGAGAGCGAGTGGGGCTGCCTCCATGTTTGTTTCCTTTCTCAGGGGCAGTCCTGCAGCCCGGGGCTTCCAGCTGCTGCTGCAGGAGCTGGGATGAAGTAGTGGCGTGAGGACCCCGCGCCTTAACATAAAAAGGAGAGAGGCTGGAATCGGTGGTGGTGTGCGCTTCTGGCTGTTCCCTATGGCAGCCACGGACCCCCAGGTCCTGGCCTTGGCCGCTCAGATCACTGAGAGCAGAGAACAGGACATACCCCTGCTGCTGCTGAAGTTAAAGGGTAATTAGTGCCGCTCCTAAAATAAAATTGTGAGCTGGTGAACTGTGGCCAGTCCTTCTCCCGTCTATCTCATTTAATTCAGAAGGTTTTTCTGAAACTCTGTAAGGAAGGTTGATACGGCAGCTTTTCCTGAGAGTGGCGTTTGACTTGGAAAAAAATAAGGAGGAGGAGCTGAGGAGCAAATGGACAGAATTTTTTTCTGCTTTTCAGCTGTCACGCTGATAATGTGGGCCCTTTTCCTGCTGATGCAGACAAGGGTCTTACACTTGGTCAAATCATTTCTCCCAGTGCTCTTTGGGCAGAGAGCCAGGGTGGTTGTCTGTATTCAGTTTTTAAATCTTAACATAGAAACAAGATCATGAGCTCCTGTGTGAGCTTTCCTTCTGCTATATAGCCACTGCTCATAGGAATGGTTGAAACAAGTCAGGTCCTGTTCTAAATTGGGATGTAATTATAAGGAAGCTATATGTTTCCCAGTGGTTGTGGTTTTATCTAGCCTAGGAAATTCATACAAATGGTTCATATCCCAGGTAATGTGTGTTTTGCTACTAAATATGTAGAGAGAAAATGGAAACTAAGTTTAGCTATCCTTCCCAATTGTCATATAATCTTACAAATGAGTTGTAGCTGTAACAGCAGAAATTGCTGACAAAATATTTAATGCTGTTGTTAGCAGTTTTACAATTTCTTTAATCCTGGATCCTGGTTCTGTGTACATATACTCTTCTTACATTTTAGAAAAAGAAAAAAAAAAACCCTGCACATCAGAATCTTATGTTTCTCTTTGTCTCTCTCCTGTTTTCTTCCCACAGGCATTTTAAGCAGTCCTTCCTTAGGATGTGAAGAATCAAATAAAATTAAGCAAGATATATATGATTATGGTCTTACTCAGTACTGCTTGCTGGTCCTTAAGCAAGACCACTCTCAGCTGCCTGGAGCCTGGGCTACTGCTGCCCAGCTAGCAGAGATACTAAGGTAAAAAGAAAAGCTAAGAAGTTTTCTTCCAGTTTTCTTTCTGTCCTTTCATCTTGCTCTTTCTCTTTTCGAGCTCTAATACATTGGCTCCCATCCAGAGCAAGGCTTGTTGTTCAGGAAAGGCCAGGGTTAAAGTGCAGGGAAGCAGTCAAGAGCAGAGGGGTCAGGCATAGCCTAATTGGTCCTGTTTAATTCATTTGCATTGTGTTTCACTGAACTGGGGGAACTATATGGTGGGAACAGGTTTTGTGTTGGCTTTACCTTTTTTTGTGGACAGTACTCACCAGTGAATAGTTTTTACCCAGTAATTATATAATTTTGAATTGTAGTTACTTAAAAATTGTTATTTTGTTTGCTTAGATTTCATCTTGCAAAGATCTTCAGCCTGATTGATGCACTGCTTGGCTTGACTGTATTTAAATATTTATTTAATATACCCATTTGAAGTATCTGTTTACATTTTTAAATATAATAGATTACACAGTTCATACAGACTAGATAACCTGATGTAGGGATATTGTGAGAATGGTGTTGTAAATAAGAAAACTTTAAACTCAAACCTCCAGTGATCCAATCTCAGTTTTACATGTCAGGAAAAATAATGCATTTTAAATTTTTCATCAAGTTTAGTTTTGGCTTAACTAAGGAGCAAAATTCTAAGGCATGAAGTAATTATGTGACCATCTCTTATTTATGCCATATCTGCAGTATGAATTTTTAATACGAGGAATTTCAGTAAGGGATGCAAGAGTTATCACCAGAGTAGTGTGATACTTAAATCATTCCCTAAAAGCTGTTTCAGTTGCAGAGAACACTGAAATTCATTTTAGCTCTAAAAATGTCCTTTTGTAGCTAGATGATTCTCAGCTTCATGCCTAGAATTTGTTTTCCAAGGGCTTTTGTAGACAGCTTTATGTATGTGCATCCCCAAAAAGGTAATGTAGCCTAGATAAGATATCAAAAAGCAAAATTCATAAAAAGTCAGGAAGACTCTTGTTGCACTGATATCAGTGCCAAGTGCAGAACTGAAACAACTTACCAGTTGTAAAACATGCAGTTTCTTGTAAAAAGTCTTCCAGAAACAACCAACGTGTTGTGGTGAGTAAAATAAGAGAGCTGAGATCTGAGGAACTGATTTCTAGCCCACATGCCTTCCTCAGTTTGAGAAAAATTGTAGACAGCCTCACTGAAGGTTTTGTGGTATATTTTTTATACATATTTTTACTGCCAAATGTGCACTCCCTTCATCATCAGGCTTCGTTTATAATTTTTTTTATGCCTTTCTATTTTACCTTTTTTTTTTCTGCTTTATGACCATCAGAGCCCTTCCCTAGAATATGGAGCAAGCTTGAACAGATTCTATTAAGCTAAAGGAGAAAGTGTGTTGGGTATATTTTTAAGTGAGAAATGCCATCATGAGTAGTAATATGGTCTCCAGCCTGTGAGTGCTTGCTCTTCCCTGGAGGCAGCCACCTTGGAGCCAGTCACAGCAGTGAGCTGTTGTTTGGGGGGAATTGTCCCATGCCACTGAAGCATTTCTCTGATGATGTGACATTCATTCAAAGTTGTTCAAACAGGCCTTTGACTATTCAGGTTAACTTTTTTCCCTTTTTTCTTTCTTTTTTTCTTTTTTGTTTTGTTTTGTTTTACTCCATTTCAGTCATTGTTGTGTAGGGCTAAAGGTGGAAGAAGATCCTGAAGAATTTTACAGGAAGTTTCTTCCTTCAGTTATAGACAGCCTGCTGGTTTTGGGAAAACGCTTGCAAGCACGATTTATCCGAGCAATGAAGGTATTTAAGTTTCATAGTTAAAATAGCAGAGAATGCCTGCAAACTTTCTGCATATTGGATAAGTAGGATATTATTCTAGTGACATGGTATTTGGAAAATTTATTTTCCAGAAATTGCAGTAGTTTTTCTTATGCTTCCAAGCTGTGAAGCTGAAATCTGTCATTGTGCAGCGTTTGCTCCATGACTTGTGCAAAGCCACTACAAAAAACCCTACAAAAAGCAGCATCCCAGTCATGGTAGTGTCTTAACTTTGCAAATCATTAGTTCAGCCTTCATAATGACTTACTTCTCACTCATTTTATTCAGCTTTACAAAAAATGTTTTAGAGAGTCTTAAGATTTTAAATCAGATTTGTTGAAGTTTGTTTTGTCATTCAATTTCTGCTGCATAATTGGCAAAAAAATTCCAAGAATGCTCACTGTTTCTGAACATGCAAATGGAGAATGCCAAAGGCAGACTTCATGAATTTATAGATTTAAGCACTTTCTCACATTTTCCTCCTTTTTTGCAGTGAAGAAGGGTTTTGCTCAGCGAGGTTCCCTCATGCTTCTGGAGTATTCTGAGTTCTAGAATCAGAATGAAAAATACCCCCAACAGACAAAAACCCACGAGTTATTTAAATTACCATCTTCATGGATTCTGACAGTTTCTTTTAATATCCTCGTTTCTCCACACTATCTCATTTCTTGGCTCACTGGCTTCTTGCACTTAGCCAAAGTTTTCCTGCAAAGTATTGTGATAGACACCACAGACAATCAATTTTCAGAAAGCATCAGTGCAATAACATAGTTTCTGTTAGTGCAGTACTTGAGAAGTGCATTTTGTGCTTAACAAGGAAGCTTCCTAAATGACATCCCAGGAGACTCTTATCCACAATATGTAATTTCCCCCATGCTTTCTTATTATGTCTCAGCCTACATGCTACTTGAGTCATGCTTGTGGGCAAAGATTTCTTTTGAATGCAAATGCAGTCTACATTATAATTAGTACTTTGGCTTTTAAACTTCATGGTCTCAGAGGTGACTGGGCACCCAGACTTGATGCTTGCTCAGTGGAATTTTGGAAATCCCACTCCACCAGTGGAGATTTGAAGTTTATTCTGCTCTGTTTTGCTTTTTGTACAAGTTTTTGAAGTCAAGGGAAGTAGTGAAATGGCTTTCAGAAACTGACATATTGCCAAAACACAGAACAGATAATATTACAGCTTAACATATTACTGTCATTTTGTATCTGCTCTTGTCAGTCTGGACCAAATACAAAGTTAAACCTTGACTGAGAGCTGAGGCTCCAGCTGGGATCTAGGAATAGGCTTCCCAGGGTTTCATTTGTGGAGGCTGAATTAATGTGGGATGTATGATCGTGTGCTTTGTAACAACATTCGTCAGCAGTGTGGTACTGTCAAAAACCCTTTTGCTGTTCCACACACCAAAATTCCAGATTTCCAGTAGTGTGTGGCTCACACTTGGAATACAGACTGGAATGTGCACCTGTATGAGCAGTCACGTGTTAAAACCTGAATTCCTACTGGTCATAGGGGAGCACTGGAGCGCCTCTGCAGTGAGGAAAGGCTGAGAGATGGGGTTGTTCAGCGTGAAGAATATCACCTCCCAGTACCTAAAGGGGCTATGAGAAAGATGGAGAGGGACTTTTTACAAGGGCATGTGGTGAGAGGATTAGGGGTGATGGCTTGACACTGAAAGAGGGAGGTTTAAATTAGGTATTGGGAAGAAATCCTGTGCTGTCAGGGTGGTAAAATACTGGGACAGTGTGCCTAGAGAAGCTGTGGATGCTCCATCTGTGGAAGCATTGGAGGCCAGGCTCCATGAAGCTCTGAGAAATCTGGTCTGCTGGAAGGTGTCCCAGCCCATGGCAGTGGGGCTGGAACAAGATGGACTTTAGGTCCTTTCCTACCATTCTGTGATTGATCCTATGTTTTTTTCCAGTCCAGTGCTATCACAGGCAAGCACATAATGTAGTCTGTTTGGCAAACAGATCAAATTTCAGCTTTATAGTGGTTTGGTGTTTGCTCCCACACCTCAAACTAGGAGGTGCTTCTGAAGCTTCACCACACCAGTTATCAGGAAAGCTTTTCCATTTTGACTGTGTCCTTGGCCACTTCACACCTTTTTTTTTAATTTTCATCCTCTTCTTTAAAGTAATATATTTCCCACTTAGTGCATTCAATCTGTGATGCCAATTTGCTGAGCTATTATTTGTCTTATCCCTCCAATGCTATCAAATATTTTTAAGGCATAAAAAAGATTTGTCTCTTGTTGTTGTGATTGTTTTCCCAAATGCATGCTTTTATTTTTTTAGTATCTTCAGGTCGTCTTGACTGATCTCTGACCTCAAAGGTCTCACAGGTTGGGGTGGCTTTTTTTACTAGTTCCTACAGTTTCACCAACTTCATTTGGAAATTTGGTGGAGTTTGGTCGCCAAATTCCTGAGGCATACAAACCTTCCCATGACATCAAGATTAAGTTCTTAATGAAGGTACATACAGATGTTTTTACCTACTTCTCTCTTGTTTAGGATAAAGAAAAACAAGACTTTTTACACTGGTTCCAAGTAGTAACTGATGCCATCTGCTGGCTGTTCGGTGGGCATATCCAACTAGCAGCACGTGGTAAGGAAAATGTCAACCCACAGAACACCTGAACATTTATTTATGGCAACTACAAGTATCAAAATTCATTCTTAAGCTAATCTCCACCTAGTCTTCTAAACTTGAGTAGATGTTAAATCAGTCTTTTTAAGTAGTCAGCTCAGCAGCAATATCTAAATTTGTAAATATCCACTAAAGGGAAATACTCAAGAGTTCCCCTTCTAGTCTTTCAGAGATAAATATTTAAACTGTCTACCTTTAGTTTCTCTTTGTAAGTCTATACCTTTTAAAAATCAGGTTGTTGGGTTTTTTTCCCCCCAATAGGAGACAATTGATCCTTTCTTGTGTGTGTTTAAAATATGCAGAAATTTGACTAGAGTACATTGCTAACCCTGATAAGTAGATAGATTTGCAGATTTTTGAAGTTTTTGCCATGACAGGAAATTTTACAAATATCTAACAAACTTCATTATATATTTCTGACCAAAATAAGCTTTCATTTAAACTGATATTAATCACGTTAATTTTGAAAACCCCAATTTGGTTTTGTTTCTATTATTGGACAAAAAAAAAAGGATCATAATATGTGTAACTATAAATACACATGGTCAGAAAAAATACTGAATATGTAGGCAGTGATACACTGGGATAAAAAAGATGGTGCTTTAATGACATCAGTGGACTTGCATTAAATAATCTGGGGTAACAAACTGTCAAGGTTGAGGTCCTTAACTTTTTTGGATATTTTTACCCCAGTGTTAATTGCACTGTTGCACTGTTGTTGTAAGAAAAGGGTACTATTGTAACATAAAGGCATTTAAAGCTTTCATTCCCTTGCAACATCAGTGCCTAAGGGATGTCCAAAGGCAGAAAAAACAGGATTCACCATGTTGTTTTTTGGAGGCTGAAGTAGTTTAGTTATCTCAGTAAGTTTCAGTTTAAGAATTATAAATGAGGGAGTTTGTTCCAGAAACAGTGTCTGGTTTTACTTGCTGTGACTTATGATGATGTTTATTTGGTTTATGGTATTTTCAAGTCTGGTTCTGATTGCATGATTTCTTGTTTGCTTGTTTTTGGTTTTCTTTGCAGTACTACAAAATGATCGCTTCCTGCAGTTGTTAATAACAGATGATGTTGAAACAGCAATTATAATGATGTCTGTGTTACACAATATTTTGAGGATCAGTAGGTTGGTTGTTTTCATATAATTCTTTTGCTTAATAATAAATACATAAGATTATTCATTACTGCTTGGTAAAATAATATTTTTTCATATTCAAGCATTGTTGTATTTTATTGTTTGGGATTTTTTTCCCCTATTCTTTGTAGCAGAAATTGAAAACATTAAAAAGCTGGGGTTTCAATCTTCTTAAATTGGGGGAGTGGTAATTGGTTGATTAAAACAGTAGTACTGCCTGGATCATATTCCTGGTCCAGCTAGCTGGGCATCTTGGCTTGCTGTATATAGCCTGACATAGGTAAAAATAAGTCACTGTTAAAAAGCTCATGTTGTTTCAATTAACACTTCTGTCCCACTCCCCTTTTTTTTTTTCTTTATTCTTTTTAAAGTTCTGTCTTGCTTCAAGTTGAAGAAGAGACCCTTCACTCTGTTTTGGATGAACTTGTTTATAAGCTTTCCTCTACCACCAATCCTGCTGTAGGAAGTGCTGCCACAAAACTGCTGTTGTTAGAGGCAAAATCTTGCAAACAGCTTGTGCAGTTATTCACAGCTCGCTACAAAGGTTTGTAAACATGCATGGGACCAATCACTGAGCCTTCTCTTACATTTCCTGTGAAAATAAAAAGACAGAGGTTTCCCATTGTGGTTCAGTAACTCTCTAGTCCAGGTGGAAACTGCAATGCCATGTTGCTTTGTGGTTTTTTTCCCCTTCTATTCATTTTCATTGCAGTTTAAGGTACTGCACCTCTTTCTGTTTCCTAAATTTATTTTCTTCTGTGTACTGAGGACTCTGCATGTGACAATTTGTCTTTTAAAGTTGTTGATTGTGACTTCCAACCTGATGTGCTTTTGCTTCTTTCTGTTTCCCTGTGCAGGTTGGTTATTGGGGGATCCAGAGGCAGGGTGCCTTTATTGCCACAGTCACAGAGCCCTTTGTGACATCTGCCACAGTGCTAAGGCTCACTAATCCAGAGCATGAAAGTTTTACTTAGTGACCTGCTGACCCTGGCTGTTGCAGGTCTGCTCATCTGATAGGGGGCTGTTTAGTTATCCAGGAGCTGACTGTCTTTTAATATCCAAGTAGTTGGAATGAGCTCTTTCCAAGAATTCATGAAATTAATTTATTGTTTTGTCTCAATGCCTTTCTATGATAAGGCTGAGTACGTGTAAAATTTGTTCTATGTTATTCATTCCTTAATGAGGTGTCCCATTTAATGTTTCTGTCTCTAGCATAGTAGGAAGCTCCAGGAAACCCCTTTGTACTCTATCATGCCTATGGAGTCTAAGGAACAGGCATAATGTTTGCCATGTCTTTTATGTTCTAGATGTTATTGTTGATCAAAACTACTTGTGAGCAGTCTCAGTCCTTTGAGGAAAAGGACAGTAAAAAGAGGGAAAGCAAGGCAAAATGTCCAATTCCCATTCTTTGCACCTGTGCTGACTACTTATTATACAGTAACAGCCAGACAAATGTCTGGACCAGATGAACAGCTTTGCCACCCTTTTGCCTACAGAACTGAGAGGAGGGATTCCTTGTATTGTGGAATTAAGTATAG